CTGAGAACCTGGCGACTGAGATAGGGTAGGGCTGGGGGGAAACCTGGGTTTTGGAGTCATGGGGTCTGGATTCAAATCCTCAGACCATCCCCTTCCTAGCTATGTTTTGGCAAGTAATTCACTGGACCTCTCTGAGTCCTGGTTTCCTCATCTGAGGTGAAATGAGTTTGCCAGTTGGTCTGAGAGCTGTTCTAGGCATGATGGGAGACCCTGACAGGCAGAGGCAGCCCTGCCCTCAAGCGGTTGATGTACAGCTGGGGAAACAAGCCAGCCACAAATGCAATACCTCAAACTCAACTTCTCAACAGCAAGCTCCTTGTCCTAACGTTCACAGAGAGTCTCTCAGCCTCCTGGGCCCCAAATACTAGTAAAGCCTTTGCCTCCCCTCTCTTCTTTCTTTCTTGTAATCAAATAGCTACAAAGTCCTGTCAATTCTTCCTGAAATATGCCTCTTTTATCAAAAAGTCCTGCCTGCGAAGCCACGAGTGGTTGCTCATGCCTATAATCCCAGCACTTTGGAGGCCAAGGCAGGAGGATTGTTTAAGTCCAGGAGTTCAAGACCAGCCTGGGCAACATATAGAGACCCATCTATACAAAAAATTTTAAAATCAGCAGGGGTGGTAGTGGCAAGCACCTGTGGTCTCATCTACTTGAGAGGCTGAGGTGGGGGGATTTCTGGAGACCGAGCTGCAGTGATCTGTGATTGCACCACTGCACTCTAGCCTGAGGGACAGAGCAAGACCTTGTATATATATATATTTTTAAAAAGTCCTGCAGTAGCTGATGCTGCCATTGCCTATATGATTTCCATTCCCTCTTATCCTCCCTAGCAGAATACCAATTTTGTTCAAAGTGTCAATGAAGGCTGGGCACAATGGCTCATGCCTGTAATCCCAGCACTTTAGGAAGTTGAGGCAGGTGAATCACCTGAGGTCAGGAGTTGGAGACCAGGCTGACCAACATGGTGAAACCCTGTCTCTACTAAAAATACAAAAATTAGCCAGGCATGGTGGTAGGTGCCTATAATCGCAACTACTCAGGCTGAGACAGAAGAATCACTTGAACCCGAGAGGAGGAGGTTGCAGTGAGCTGAGAACACGCCATTGCAATCTAGCCTGGGTGGAAAGAGTAAAACTCTGTCTCAAAAAAGAAAAAGAAAAAGAAAAAGAAAACAAATAACAACACAAAAACAAAGTGTCAGTGAAGGTCCAGCAAACGACTCCCTTTCCTATTGCCCTTTGCAGCCGGGGTCATCATTGACACAGTTCAGATCACTGAGGCGGAGGCTGAGAGTCCCTGGAAAGACCTGCTTTTCCTGTACAGGTACCATGTCTTTCTGCTTCACTCTTTCCGTTTTCCCCATGATCAGAGCCATGGAGCCTGGGCTGACTGACACCTGCAATCTCAGTACTTTGGGAGTCTGAGGCAGGAGGATCATTCGTCGCCCTAGAGCTTGAGACCGGCCTGGGCAACAATAGTAAGACCTCATCTCTACAAAAAATAAAAAAAATTAGCAGTGTGTAGTGGTGTTTGCCTGCATTCCCAGCTACTTGGGAAGCTGATGGGGGAAGATTCCTTGAGACCAAGAGTTCAAGGCTGCAGTGAGCTATGATCTTGTCATTGCACTCCAACCTGGGTGACACACTGAGACCCTGATTCAAAAATAAATAAATAAAAGTGAATTTAAAAAATAAAATAAAACAAAAATATCTGTATCTGTTAGTCTTAAAACAAAAATTTATTTTTGTTCTCTAAAAGCGAAAACAAAAATAGTTTTTGGCTGGGCATGGTGGCTCACGCCTGTAATCTCAGCACTTTGGGAGGTCAAGGCAGGAGGATCATCTGAGGCCCGGATTAGAGACCAGCCTGGGCAATATAGCCAGGCTCCATCTATACAAAAAATAAAAATAAAATAAAATAAAGATTAAAAAATAGTTGTTATTGTATATAATCACCTGTTATATGTGTATATATACATATAGTGTATGTATACGTAACATATATAATTTACAAACCTATGCATTTGAAAGTATAAATGAGTGTTGTAAATCTTAATAGGCTTGTATCTGTTTGGTGAGCTTATAAGTGGTTTTTTTTTTTCTTACCCTGATTACATTTTTTTCAATAAAAATAAAAAGAGACCAAAAGTGCTTAAAATGCTGAATGTCCATGTTTCTTAGTCCAACACTCAGTGGCTTTCACATGGGCAGGAATAATGGTGTGGAGTGTGTGTGGTGTGTGTGTGAGTGACAGTGTGTCACTTCAAGCTAGTTTGTAATTGTATGTAAGTGTATGGGTGTTTGGGAGTGTGTCTGAGTCTGTGAGTGTGTGTGAATGTGTGTATTTTGGAGAGAGGGTTACTGTGTGTGTGTGTATGTGTGTCTGTGTGTGTATTAGTGTGTGATGTGGATGTGTTGGGAGTATGTGTGCATGTGAGTGAGTGTGTCTGTCTTCCTGGGGGAGCCGGGAACACCCAGAAAGGATTCAAGGATCTTCTTCCTCTCAGTTTGGTCTGATCCCTCAGGGAGTGCCTTTTGCAAACCTGCTTTTCTCACTCTCGATTCTGCGCCCCCGCACCTTTTTCTAAGCTGGAGAGGAAGTGAGCATGAGAAGGAGCTCAGGCTGCATCTCTGGGGTGGGGCCCGACTGTCTGTCTGTTTCCTGCTCCCATGACAGCTGCCACCAAGGCTCCAGAGGTTGCTAGGCTAGTAGCTCCCCTGGTCACTCCAGCCTGAGAAGGTGACCAGGTCAGCTACTTGTCACTTAATCCATCAAGAGTCACATCACAAAGGGCAGGTGTGGTGGCTCACGCCTGTAATCCCAGCAGTTTGAGAGGTGGAGGGAGGATGGCTGGAGCCCAAGAGCTGGAGACCAGCCAGGGCAATATAACGAGACCCTGTCTCCACAAAGAAAAAGTTTTAAAATTATGTGGGCATGGTGGTATGCACCTGTAGTCCCAGTTGCTCAGGAGGCTGAGGTGGAAGGATCACTTGAACCCAGGAGGCAGAGGTTGCAGTGAGCTGAGATCCCACCACTGCACTCCAGCCTGGGCAACAGAGCAAGACACTGTCTCTCTCTCTCTCTTTCTCTCTCTCTCTCTCTCTCACACACACACACACACACAAGGAATCACATCCCAAAACCAAAGGATGTGGGGAAAGGCTGTGGATTCCAACACGGGCATGCTAAAGGGACCCAGGAGCCCCGGGAAGCAGGCCTGCGAACCATGTGAGCCCAGCATTTCCACTTGAGGGCAGGACCCCTGCTCTCCTCAGCAGCACTTTCAGCTTCCCACAGAGCCAGTTTTTCCAGAGCCCACTTTGGGAATGCCGACGTGTGACAAGAGCCTATTTTGCACAGCACTTCACGGGCTCTGCAGCTTCCTCACACCCAGGAACACACCACCCTGGAGCCCTGCGAGCAGGTGAGATGGGGCCCATTTGACAGATGGGTACTGGAGTCCTTGCTCAAGGTGCCCCCAGCTTGTGAGAGGCCTTCCTATGTTGGAACTCTGCCATCTTTTTCCTTCTCAGCAGAAGCAGAGTGGAGGCCGGGCATGGTGGCCCACGCCTGTAATCTTAGCCGACATGGGCAGACCACTTGAGGTCAGGAGCTTGAGACCAGGCTGGCCAATGTGATGAAATCCCATCTCTACTAAAAAAAATCCAAAATTAGCTGGTGGTTCTGGTGGTGCACACCTGTAGTCCCCACTGCTTGGGAGGCAGAGGTTGCAGTGAACTGAGATTGCACCACTGCACTGCACTCCAGCCTAAAAAAAAAAAAAAAAAAAGGAGCAGAGTAGAGAGCAGGGCCCTGAAAGAGCCCAGGAAGGATACAATGTTTTAGAAAAAAAGACTGGGCTAAAGTTTGGGACTCTGTAGGTGAAGGGATTCCTTGGGAGGTAAAATAATGAGATAATGATATTTAAGTGGGATCTGAGGGCAGGAGGTGCTGAAGACGGGGTGCCAACTGGTGCTGGCTGGGTCCCTAAACCATCTGATCAGCCTGAGATGAAGGACCATCCAAAGAAAAGCGAGGCCAGTTTCTGGTCCCAGCTATGTCCCCAGCAGACCATATGGCTTAAGTCAGTACTTCATGTTCTCCAAGCCTCAGTTTCCTTATCTGAGCCAGGAAGGGGCTGGGTTAGGGTTGCCAGAGAAAATATAAGATGCTCAATTTAATTTGAATTTCAGGAAAACAATATATATATATATTTTTAGCACGGTCTCATTGTGTCACCCAGTCTGGAGAGCAGCGGTGCAATCATGGCTCACTGCAGCCTTGACCTTCTGGGCTCAAGCAATCCTCCTGCCTCAGCCTCCTGAGTAGCTGGGACTACAGGCATGTGCCACCATGCCTGGCTTTTTTCCATCACTCCAAACCCGCACTAGCTGATTTAAAAAGCTATTTTATAGAGATAGGGGTCTCTATGTTGCCAGCCTGGTGGGTCTCAAACTCCTGAGCTCAGGCGATCTACTCAGCTTGGTTTCTCAAAGTGCTGGCATTACAGGCTTGAGCCACCACACCAGGCAATAATTTTTAGTATACGTATGTCCCATGCAATATTTGGAACATACTTGTACCAAATTATTTGTTCTTCATCATATTCAAATTTAACTGGGAATCAGGAATTTTTGTTTGCTAAATCTGGTAGCTGGGAGAACGCGTGAATGAGGATGCGGCCAAGAACAGCATCAGCCTGGACATCCAGGGAGAGGAAGAGGGAGAAGGCGAGAGGAGAGGCGGAGGGATGGGGATGCTTACGAGCAAGGGCCCTGCCTGACCCCCTGCGGCAGGGGCTTCTCCCTCCATTAGCACACCCCAACACCCCAGGCACCCTGGCAGCTGCCTGGCCTCCGGCAGCCCCACATTCTAGTTGTGTGGGGGTGGGGTGTGGACCACGGACATGAACCTTCTGGGCTCCCACCACCCCGCCCTGCTTCTTCACAAATTGGTATTGGTGTTTGTGGTAAACCCAGTGACATGGGGAGATGACATATAAAAAGAGCAGGACCCTGAGAAAGGTTAGGCTGCAGTCTCCCTGCCCATAACACAGGGTGTGGAGGACATCTCAGCAGCCGCCCCACCATGGCTACCTGGGCCCTCCTGCTCCTTGCTGCCATGCTCCTGGGCAACCCAGGTAAGGCCTTCCCCTTGGGATCCATCCTAATGGACCTCCTAGCCCCGCACTCTCAAGCTGGCTGTACCCGGAGCATGGACTCTGTGGGCACCCAGGTACCCCAGACTGTCCCCGGTTTTCTCCCGACTCATGGAGGCCCGGCTGTCCCCTCAGAGCCAGGCTTAGCCCAGTGTGCTGCCCAGCCTGTCAGTGGCCTGGCTGAGGAGGAGAGACAGGCTGGAGGGGCAGGGGCCTGGGACCCCCCTTTCCCTCCCAAGGCCCTGCCCCCGCATCTGTGTGGTGAAGGCCATTGGCCCTCCTCGGTGGCTCTGCTTTTCCTTGGGCCCACACTGGCTTAAATTGTGAGGGCTGGTGAGAGAAGAGGGTCCCTTCCCTGTTCAAGGCAGACTCCCTGCCCCTGCAGCCTGCTCTCTCCCAGGTCTTGGGGTCAGTGTGAGCCCCAAGGGCAAGGACACTCCTGGAAGGGAGAGTGGATTTGGCTGGGCCATCTGGATGGAAGGTAAAAAAAGAAAATCTCTTGAAAGGAGATGGGGGAAGTTTCTAGACAGAACCCCAAACCTTTGTGGCTGGGGGAACAGAGGAGAAGGGAGAATCTCCCCCTCCTGGCTTTCTAGGAGCGTGAAAATATGTGTTTGTGCTGAGAGTGGGTCAGAGCGGCTCCAGGGCAGAGCGTGTGGACAGGTCTCCTGGCCCCTACAAGTCCCAGCTCCTGTCCTGGGCCCTGGCTACCTCCTGGGCTCCCGCCAGACAGGAGAGTGGGCTTTTCCTCTCCTTCCACCTGCAGAGGGGAAGCTGAAGTGCCTTCTTCCTCAGGTCTGGTCGTCTCTCGTCTGAGCCCTGAGTACTATGACCTGGCGACAGCCCACCTGGGTGACAAGGAGCAATCCTCCCCATGCCTGGCCCAGGAGGGCCCCCAGGTACATGCTGGCTCTCTGCTCACCTCCCACAGCCCCTCTCCTTTCTCACCTCCCTGGGTGGCTCCTGGGGTGAGGGCTGGAACTCTCTAATGGGGAGGAGATGGGGGTGGAAGCGGGGCTGTTTCTGAAGATGCTGGTTTTGTTGAATTCCCATCTGGCCAGGAGAGTACAGACACCTGGTAAACTCCCCCAAGGGGATCCTCTGGGGTCTCACCCTTCAAGGAGCCTAGGGCTGCAGCAGACTCCCCTAGGAGTTCCTCGGCAGGAGAGGGGCAAGCGCAGCGCTGGGAAAGTCCTCGGGGGGCGGGAGGCGGGTTCTTCGTGCCTCTAAGACAAGCAGAAAGGTGGGCAGGGCCCAGGCAGCCAGTTCAGGCCTTCAATGTATCCATGCTCTGGGCAGAGATCACAGACGTTCCCTCCGGCCTCAGAAACACCAAGGGCCCTTCCTTGGGCACCTTCACACGCTCCTAGAGTGTCTGAGAGACCACCATAAGGGGCTTTTTTTCCTGTCAGGGTGATCTGTTCACCAAAACACAGATGCTGGGCTTCCGCTGCAAGACCTGTCTGAGGATGATCCAGACACTGAAGGACATGGTGAAGGAGCCCACCAAGGTGAGGCTGAGGGGCCACGGGGCCTCCTGTCTGCTGCTCAATGGAGGGGCTGGTCTGTGACCAGGATGGGGGTGGGAGAGCCCAGGGCACCCTGCACAGTGGCCCTGGGGACGGCTTCCTAGAAGGGAAGCTATGAGCCCCCCTATGTCTGTGCATGAATTTCAGAGAGCTTGTGAAATTGTTTGTGACTCTCTGGAACCATGTAAGTCAGAGGATAGAGTATACCTGGTTTTCATCATGTATCCTCAAAGAGGGCTTGTCCCAGAGAAGTTGGGAATCTTCCCCTAAATCCCTAACATTTGTGTCCAAGGCAGAGCTTTGAGAACCTGGTTCCCCAAGAGGCCTGGGTCAGGATTGATAAATCCCAGATCTGTTACTTCCAAGCCGCATAGCCGTGGGCAAGTCACTTCCACTTTCTGAGCCTCGGTTATCTTATCTTTGAAATGGGATGGATGACAGTCCCCATCTTGTAAGTTGCCAAAGCTTTCTTTTTTTCTTGAGATAGGATGTAACTCTGTGATCCCGGCTGGAGTGCAGTGGTGTGATCTCAGCTCACTGAAACCTCTGCCTCCCTGGCCCAAGCAATTCTCCTGATTGAGCCTTTTGAGTAGCTGGGATTCCAGGTGTGTGCCACCATGCCCAGCTAATTTTTGTACTTTTGTAGAGACGAGGTCTCACTATGTTACCCAGGCTGGTCTCCAACATCTGAGCTGAAGCCATCCACCTGCCTCAGCCTCCCAAAGTGCTGGGATTACAGGCATGAGCCACCTGGCCTGGCTGCCGAAGCTTTTTACAAGAGCTGAAGGCTGGGATGTGCTTCACTCCACGCCCAGCACTGAGTAAATGCTTAACAAATGACTGAGCTACTACCGAGAATGATTGCCTCACTGTCCCTCCTTGCCTGTCCTCTGCTCCTCCAAACTACTCAGCATCCGGGCCCTGCAGGCTCACACTCAGCCCTGGATACTCAGATTCATCCTCCTCCCCTGGGATGGCATAGAAGAGACTTCAAAACCAAATGAGCCAAGACTCCATGCTCTGACCATCCCCCCAACCCCCACCTGTCTTCCCTATGCACCCCCTCTAGCTGGAGTCCCCAGCCAGGTCCTGGACCCAGCTAGCTACATGGCAGAGCATTTAATGTGTGCCTGGTAGCCACAGGCACCATTCTCCACACAGAAGGCAGGGGACAGGTGCACAGGGGGCCGAGGCCCCAGCAGGATAACTGTCCTTGTCTCATGAGCCCTATGTGGCCAGGCTTGGGCCAGGCCTTGGGAACTGGGAGTGGGGGCCGAGCCCTGTCTCTACAGTCTCTGGCCCCATGGGAACTGGCCACTGGCTCCTTGCACCCAGTATTCCCATTGCCAGGGCTGCCGGAACCTGCAGGGTGCCAGATCTGGGCAGGACTCACCCTATAACCATGCCTGCCGTGGCACTACTCCTGCAGGAAGACATTTCCGATGCTGCGACCCGGCTGTGCAGGAAGATGAAGTCACGAGGGCGTGACTTCTGCCTAAAGACCATAAGGAGGTACCTGCCTAGACTTATCCAGGACATCATAGGCAGAAAAACTGCCCAGAAGATCTGCGTGGACATCAGGATGTGCAAACCTTCTATGGGTGAGTGCAGAGGTGAGAGTAGGGGCTCCTCCCGAGGGTTGAACACGGCTTCCCCCAGGATACATCAAAGCTGCCTTCTTAGGACACATGACTCCCCCACCTCCCAGCATGGGTAAGTGTGGAGAATTGAGCAGATGGATTTTAGCTAGAAATGTTTGAGAAATATTGATTAGAGCTTGGGTCTCAGACACAGGTGGTCGTGGAATAAAATCTGGTCTCCTTCTCTCCCTGGCTGTGTGACCTTAAGCAAATAACTTGACCTCTCTGAGCTTCAGTATCTTCATCTGTGAAGGGGAGACAGCAATCTTGATTTCTGATAGATCAGAATGAGAATTGAAGGAGGTCACCGTGTGTATGGACCTGACCGTGAGGAAATGCCCTCAGACTGGAGCTATTCAAGGACATCAGACCCCCTAGTCAAACTCCAGTCCCCAGCCCAGCACAGCCCCTGGGGTCAGGAGCTGGAGCCACATCCTCCCGCACAACCCTGGGCCCTGAGAGCTGGGCTAGGGAATCCCTTCAGGCCAGGGAGCCCCAGGCCTCTCCCTCCATGGCTGCCCAGGCTTGCCCGGAGACAACAGGCCTCAGCTGAAGGAAACGGGGCCAGAAAGGGGCCTCGGTGATTGGCTCTGGCAGCTCAGCTGGCACTTGCAGATGCTCTGGGACTTCATGCTAGCAGATCGGGGGTCCCTACCATTTCCTGTCATTGGTGCTTGTGGCTTTTCTCTTCAAGGCCTTACAACCCACTCAGGCCCCCAACTGGCTTCCTGGATGTGCCGCTGTTTGTTCTCTGCAGGGGCAGGTTGCTATGAGACCTTAAGCTAATAACATTCTGAGTGCCTGCTTTTCCTTGGGGATCCACCACACCTGCCCACAGCTGGCTTTTCTCTCCGCTCCAGGTCCTCTCTGAGCCCTCTCGCCCTGTCCTGTGGAAGAAGCACAGACTCCTGTCCTCAGATCCCGGGAACCCCAGCAGACGCTGCTGGCTCCTCCCTTCCTCGGTTCAGAATCCCTCTCCAGTCTCCCTCTCCGGACTCCCTCTGCTGCCCTCCCCTCTCAGGAGAATAAAATGTCAAGCAAGATGTTAGCTGAAGCTTACTTTTCTTTGGTCGATTTGAGGTGGGTGTCAGTGGCATGCTGGGGTGAGCGGTGCAGTCCTTCAACAAATGTCTGTTGTGTGTCCCATACACTGTTGTAGATGCTATGGATTTAGTGGTGAAGCAGACAGCCTTAACAGCCGTCATACAGTTAGTCATGAAATGCCTACTGAGCACTCACCACAGCCATGCCTTATTCCCAGAGGCCGGGACACACAGTGGCTATGTCTCCAGAAGCTCTCAGACTAGAGGGGGAGACCAGCGGGTTAGAGGCTTTTTGTTTTGCTTTGTTTTGGTGGAAAGGAATATAACCCCTCCTCTTGCTTCTTGCCTGCCACAGGCAGCCTTCCTTTGCTGTTTCGGGGGAGCGTATCACTTAGGGTCCTTTGGTGGCAAGCAACAGCAACAGGAGTCTCCGCCCATTCTGAAAAGGGAATTTACTGGTTCAAATAATTAAGCAGTCCACAGATATGTTCAGGCACAGAATGATCCAGAAATGTGTGGCATCACCAGAGCCCCAGTTCTTTTTTATTGCAATTTTTCATTCTCCCAACCTCTGTATATTGAAATTGTCTTCAGGTTTGCTTCTCTCTTGGCAGCAGAAACGGCTTCGACAGGCCCACACCTCACATGTTTACAGTGTAGCCATCAGAGGGAGAGAGCTCCCTTGGAATGAGATAGGAAGTTTCTTTCCCAGAAGTCCTATCAGATATCTCCTCAGTTCTCATTGGCCATGGGTTATTTACCCACTCTCGGACCAATCACTGTGTTCTGGAGAATAATGGCATACACTGATTGGCTTAAGCTAAGCAGGGCACACCCCTGGGGCTGAGGTGGGGTCCATCCCAACCCAATCACTTGGTTGACAATAAACATGAAAATCTGGGCTGCTACTGGTGGGAGGAGGGAAAAATGGACACACCCCTCGAGGAGAATGGTGTGTTATTCTGGGTTCAATTAAAGTTGTTCAAGGGGATTACTGATGCCAAATCTGGGGCTATTTGAGCCTCAGAATAGATGACAAGAACAGATTGTAATTCATTGAATAAAGTAGAATCCATGAGTTCATATAAATACAAATAATACATGAATATATACAAGGGAAATGAAAAAATGCTACCTTATAATGATAGTTAATAAATGTAGATCTAGTTGCAAAGTATACCCTACTAACATATTTGTTACACTGAATATATCAAATGCTTACTAACTTGATTTTTAAAAAGTATTTCTTTTTCTTTTTTTTCTGATCGAAAACTTTATTATTAATTTTTAAAATGGGGATGAAAAACTTTTATTGGTAATCATTTTATTTATTTTTTGAGACAGAGTGTCACTCTGTTGCCCAGGCTGGTGTGCAGTGGCATGATCTCAGCTCACTGCAACCTCTGCTTCCTGGGTTCAAGCGATTCTCCTGCCTCAGCCTCCTGGGTAGCTGGGATTATAGGTGTGTACCAGCACACCTAGCTAATTTTGATTTTTTTAGTAGAGATGGGGTTTCTTCACGTTGGTCAGGCTGATCTTGAACTCCCGACCTCAGGTGATCTGCCCGCCTCAACCTCCCAAAGTGCTGGGATTACAGACGTGAGCCGCCATGCTGCGTCGACATGTTTATCCTTTCAGAGACAAGAGTCTCATGTTATCTCCCAGGCAGGAGTGCTGTGGCTCTTCTCAGCATGATCTTAGCACACTGCATCCTCAAACTCCTGCCCTCAAGGGATCCTCTCATCTCAGCCTCCAGAGTAGCTGGGAGTACGGGTGTACAGGTGTGCAGCACTGGGCCTGGCTCAGTAATATATCAATTAATACATTCCATTATTAGTTAACCTGTCAGTGGAGAAAGCTGTCAGCTGATGAAAGTTAATGCCACCTCTCATGGGGCAAGTCAATATCAAGAGCCTCATAATACATAATGCTGTGAGAGAAATATACTACAGCTTTTCTATTGTTCCTGCTGAAAACGCAAAAATCATGAGGAAACCTCAAAGCAAACCCAAACTGACATTTTACAAAGTGCTTAGCCTGTCCTCTTTTTTTTTTTTTTTTTTTCTTCTGAGCCTGAGTCTCAGTATCTCACCCAGGCTCCCAGTTGTGTGATCTGGGCTCACTGCAATCTCTGCCTCCTGGGTTCAACGTAGTCTCCTGCCTCAGTCTCCTGAGTAGCTTGGGATTACAGGAAGGTAGCACTATACCTGGCTAGTTTTGTATTTTTTTGTAGAGAGGGGGTTTCACCATGTTGGCTAGGTTGGTCTCAAACTCCTGACTTCAAGTCACCTGCCTGCCTTTTCCTCTCAAAGTGCTGGGATTACAGGCGTGAGCCACTGCACTCTAGCCTGTCCTCTTCAAAAATGCCAAAGTCAAAAGACAAATAAATATTTGTCAAAAGACAAATAAAGACTGAAGAACTGTTCCAGATAGAAGGCAGCATGACAACTGATTGCAACACATGATTGTAGTTTGGATCCCGATCTATAAAGAACATAATTGGGGGAATTGATAAAATGGGACTGGAATCGGTGATGGTCATATTCTGTCAGTGTTAATTTCTGATTCTGATGGTTGTACTATGGTTACGTATGGCAGTGTCCTTGTTAGAAAGTATACACTAAAGTATTCAAAGAATAATAGGTACTCACATCTGCAATTACAGTGAAATGATTCGGAAAAAAAAAAAATACAGCCAGGCGCAGTGGCTCACGCCTATAATCCCAGCACTTTGGGAAGCCGAGGCGGGTGGATCACGAGGTCAAGAGATCGAGACCATCCTGGTCAACATGGTGAAACCCTGTCTCTACTAAAAATACAAAAATTAGCTGGGCATGGTGGCCGGTGCCTGTAGTCCCAGCTACTCGGGAGGCTGAGGCACGAGAATTGCTTGAACCCAGGAGGCTGTTGTGGTGAGCCGAGATCGTGCCATTGCACTCCAGCCTGGGTAACAAGAGCGAAACTGCGTCTCAAAAAAAAAAAAAAAAAAATACAATATGGACACAAAGAATGAGTGTGATAAGGCATATACCACATCCCTGTGGGAAAGTGTTAACAGTGGGGAATGCTATTTAAGAGTAAATAGGTGCTCCTGTTTACACTGGGACGTTTGGAAGGTGAAATCCCCGAATCTATAGCAAGCTGCAAGATTGCAACTTCCAAACTTCATGTTGAAATGTGACCCCCAGTATCGGAGGTGGGACCTAGGGGAGGTGTTTGAGTCATGGAGGTGGATCCCTTAATTCTTGTGGTAATGAGTGAGTTCTTGCTCTATTAGTTTCTGTGAGAGCTGCTTGTTATATTAGTTTTTGTGAGAGTTGCTTGTTAAATCTCCTCTCTCTTCTTTTCTCACCATGTGACCTCTGCACACACTTTCTCCCTTTCCCTTGTGCCATAAGTGGAAACACCTTTTTCTGTTTTGAGAAGGAGTCTTGCTCTGTCACCTAGGCTGGAGTGCAGTGGTTGGTGCAACATATAGCACCCAGGTTCCTGGGTTCAAGTGATGCCCCTGCCTCAGCCTCTGCAGTAGCTGGGAGTTTAGGCCCCTAATACCATACTTGGTGAATTTTTATGTTTTTAGTAGAGTCGGTGTTTCTCTATGTTGGCCAGGCTGGTCTTGAACTCCGGACTTCAAGTGATCCGTCCAACTTGTTCTCCCAAAGTGTTGGGATTCCAGGCGTGAGCCACTGCGCATGGCCAAACGTAGAAGCAGCTTGAGGCCTTCACCAGATGCACATTGTGGGGCCGCGCCTCTGGTGTAGCTTAGGGAACTGTGAGCCAAGCAAACCTCTTTCTTTATAAACTACCCAGCCTCAGGTGTTCCTTTATAGCAACACAAATAGATGAAGACACAACTTTTCTCTAGATTTGAAATTGTTTCAAAATCAAAGTAAGTGACTTATAGCATTTTGACTTAGCAAACTGGTGGGTGGTGGTGACATTTACTGAGATGGAGGAGACGTGGATGGGTAGATTTGGAGGGAATAATGAAGAGCTCTGCTTTGGCCATGTGAGGGTTAAGTGTTAAATTTCCAAGGTGAGATATCAAATAGGGGAGTTTGGCCCAAAATACACATTTGATGCCTGGATGAGGCCATCTAGGAGTGAGTGAGTGAGAGGCGACTTCCAGCCACTGATTCGTTTTGATCAGTGAACTCTAGTGGTGGGCAGTCTGAGTCGTGATTGAGAAGAAAAGTCTATGGCATTGAGACACATCTCTATGTTGATTCTTTTTTTCTTTTTCTTTTTGATTCATTATTTTAATAAATTCCTTGCATGTATGGAATTATGTTATCTGCAAATAGAGATCATAGTACTTCTCTCTTTCCAATGTGAATTTCGTTTCATCTGCTTGCCTAATTTCCCTGGCTAGAGTCTTTGGTACAATGCTGAATTGAAGTTATCAGAGCAGCAGTCCTTGTCTAGCTCTTATCTCAGGGAAACCATCTGGTCTTTCACCATGAAGCAAGAAGTCAGTTCTGGGTTTTTCACAGATGCACTTTATCGGGTTGAGGAAGATCCCTTCTATTCCTAGTTTGTTGAGAGTATTATCATGAAGAGATGTTAAATTTTGTTGAATGATGTTTCTTTGCTATTGAGAGGATCATGTGTTTGTCACTTTTTATTATGATGAATTTCCTGAATTGACTTTTGATTACTGATTTCCCTTGCATGTCTGGATAAATCTTACTTAGTCATGGTATACAATTGTTGTTTATACTATGACCAAGTAAGACGCAACAATTATATACCATGGTATATACTGGTATATAACCAGGATTCAGCTGGCTAGAATTTTTTATGTATATATATATATATATATTTTTTTTTTTTTTGAGACGGAGTTTCACTCTTGTTACCCAGGCTGGAGTGCAATGGCGCGATCTCGGCTCAGCGCAACCTCCGCCTCCTGGGTTCAGGCAATTCTCCTGCCTCAGCCTCCTGAGTAGCTGGAATTACAGGCACGTGCCACCATGCCCAGCTAATTTTTTGCACCTTTAGTAGA